TCCCCACTGTAGTTTTTATTTCTAAAAGATTAAGCTGGCTACAGTGATAAAAGTGCACCTGAGGGAAGTAAGGGGGGGAATGGTTATGATACTCTGCAGAAATCCAAATAAGATGGTTGCATCTTGGACTATGATCTTGAAACATGGGTTGGGAAATAGGGGGTGGAGCCTAGAGGTATGGAGAGGACTGAATTTAGAGGACTTGGTGGTGTGTGGGTGAGGGGGAGGGAACAACTGAGGGTGACTCTCTGGTATGAACTCTCTGATGGTGACCAAGGTGTACACTCTGCCTGAAGGCTTTCCCGCACGCTTTACATTCATAGGGCCTTTCTCCAGTATGGATTCTCTTATGCAGCGTCAGGTGAGCAACCTGGCTGAAGGCTTTGCTGCATTCCTTGCACTCATAAGGTTTCTCTCCTGTGTGAATCCTCTCATGCAGAGTCAGAGATTTACGGTGGCCGAAGGCTTTCCCACAGACGCTGCATTCATAAGGTTTCTCGCCTGTGTGACACCTCTGGTGACAGATCAGAGAAGCCCTCTGTCTGAATGCCTTCCCACACTCCAGACACTCATATGGCCTCTTGCCGCTGTGGAGCCTCTGATGCTGAACAAGGTAGGAGCCGTCGCTGAAGGCCTTCCCACACTCGGCACATCCATAAGGCCTCTCGCCAGTATGAACTCTCTGGTGCTGAACGAGGTGTGCAACCTGGCTGAAGGCCTTGCTGCACTCCTTACAGTCATACGGCTTCTCTCCGGTGTGTATTTTCTGATGCTGTGCAAGGTGTGCGTTCTGGCTGAAGGTCTTGCTGCAGTCCTTACACTCGTAGGGCTTCTCCCCAGTATGAATTCTCTGATGGTGGGAGAGGTGCGTGCTCTGCCGAAACGCTTTCCCACACTCCTTACACTCGTAGGGTTTCTCTCCAGTATGCACGCGCTGATGAAGCGTGAGCGAGCCACGATGGCTGAAGGTTTTCTCACAGGTGCTGCATCCGTAAGGCTTCTCCCCTGTGTGAATCCGCTGATGGACGGTCAGGGAGGAGCCGTGGCCGAAAGCCTTCCCGCATGCGTTGCATTTGTACGGCCTCTCCCCAGTGTGAACTCTCTTATGCTGAATCAGCCCGATGTGATCCGTGAAGGCTTTCCCACAATCAACACAGTCAAAGGGCTTCTCTCCGGTGTGACAGTACCTCCGATGACGTCCGAGAGAAGCGTTCTGCCTGAATGCTTTCCCACAGTCAGTACACGCGTACGGTCTCTTCCCAGTGTGGATCCTTCGATGATGAGCCAGGGAGGAACAGTCACTAAAGGCCTTCCCACATTCACTACACTCATAGGGTTTCTCTCCAGTGTGGACTCTCTGGTGCTGGGCGAGATGTGCCAGCTGGCTGAAGGCTTTGGGACACTGCCTGCACTGATACGGCTTCTCTCCGGTGTGGACTCTCTGGTGCTGGGCGAGATGAGCATTCTGGCTGAAGGCTTTCCCACACTCAGCACATTCGAAGGGCTTCTCTCCTGTGTGGATTCTCTGATGTTGAGCAAGGTGGGCACTCTGGCTGAAGGCTTTCCTGCATTCGATACATTCATAGGGCTTCTCTCCAGTATGAATTCTCTGATGGAGAATCAGAGTTGAGATTTTGCTGAAAGTTTTCTCACAGTCACTACATTTCAAAAGTTTCTTTTCTCCATAGACTTGCTTGTGTGTTTTAACAAAGGAATGTGTTTTTAAGCTTTTCTTATCTGTGTCAAAATTATACATTCTCTCTTCAATGGGAAATACCTGTTTTATGTAAGGTAATGTATTCGGACGGAAACCTGTCCCAGCTTTGTTAGAGCGGCCCCTCTGCTCAGTGAGGGTACCTACATGGGTGGCTGATTCTTGCCTAAGATGTGTCTTCTGACTTACCAGCTCCTTCTCAAACAGGTCTTCACAGTTCCTGTTTTCCCCTACGGTGGAACATTCAAGGTCATAGCTTTCAAGCTTTTCCATTATCACTGCCTGGGATAACTTTTCCTCACAGATATCCTGGTTTGGAGATAACTCCTTTGTCATCCACACATACTCCAAGTCTGAAAGATATTACGAAAGCAAACGCCTCCTTTATTTAATGCTAGAAGAACAGAAGCTTCCAAAACAAAACCATGTGAATCAAAACAGCTCCTGAAGCCCACCAAGGTACTTGTTTTTGACAGTTGTTAAAGTTAGGCAGTGTGACCATCCTTGCATTTCTGGAATAAACCTTCCTTGGCTACAGTATGCTATTTTGACATGACTTTTTATGTAAGATATTACACCAATATTCATAATCGATACTTGCCTAATTTCCTTTTTCTGGTGCTATTTTGCTGAAATTTTGGGTTCAAATGTTATGCTGTCTTCATTAATACATTTTTGGGGTAGTTTTTTATTCTCCGTCACAGGACACTTTAAAGAA